GCGTATCTCTTAGGAATCTTAAAAACTGTAAAATGCCTATAGAATTCTGACTGATCTGACCATGGCACATCATTTTTGGTTACTTGCTCAATTAAAAACTTCCCAGACTGATTTCCTCCACTTCTTGCCATATTTCTGAGCATCTTCCTCAGACATAAGATGATAGAATCACAGGTAGAGGAAAGCAGAATTAACAATAGTCTAGACCAAATAATTAGGGAGGAAGGGGAATTCATTCACTGTCATGAATTATGCATTTAAGTGACTTTTTTGATTACTGACAGTTTGAATCATCTATATGAGTTAAGCATGCATCACTTAAGTCGATTCACTTTGGGAGTTTCAGAAGGAAAACAAATTGCATTATTTCCAGTGTAAACAGAAAACAGTAGATAGAAAACCAATAAATCACACCCATATAATTATAGCTGATCCAGAACACGAATACCAATCAGCCTGCAGCCACATGCTTTCCCTAGAAAGGAAGATTGAGTTGGTGATGGGCATTGAATGGTGTTGCTCCAAGCCATTAGAAGGTTGAAGTGACATAGTCAATTTCATTGTCATATTAAAAGCAGAGCCTCGTAGCTAAGGACAGGCTTGATTGTTTAAGCATATCACCATGTGTCAAAATTCCTAATTGATTTCCTGCTCATTAAAGCTGTTATGCTTTTTCAAGGCCAGATTGCTGGCTGTGCATACTTGAGTGCTCATGACTAGGAGAACTTGCTTCAGACTCTATAGATATAAACTAACAAATGAATTATAGAAAGAATGTAAAGCTAGTACAAGTCGTTTAGATGTATTTCTTAGTATAGTATTCTATATAGGTCATATGTGGCAATCAAGTATCTTATTCTAAATTCTAATAAAGACATTTTTAAACTAGAAATGCTCTTGAATATGACTAAATTTCAAGGCCCTTTCCTTCCTATTATGTTTTCCTCTCTGTTTAATCTTGCAACAGAATGAATATCTTATTTTACAGTTTTGATATATTTTACACATGTATATACACACACATACATTAAATCGCTTGTTAATTTGATTTTGAAAATAAAAACTTAAAATAAGTCTGAGCATTATGTATGAATTTGCTCATTTAGGAAGATTATACAACTTAGCATATTAACTTTTTAAAGAAGACAGACTTTGTTTAAAAATATACTAATTTATTTAAAGAAAGAAGCTCAAAATTTATTTTGGTCTGGAATTTTAGACACATTTTTCCTTTACAATAATTTTCTTTCCCTAAAAAGCAAGCGATTCTATTTAAACAGCAAATATTATTGTTCCTCTGATTTTTTTCCCCATCATATTGCTAATGAACCTAAAGGGCTTTATGATGAGTGATTTTCTATTTGCTTTTGTTGTCGCTATTTTTTTGATTTCTTCTTTGACCAACCAAACATGGCTCAAATATTTGGTAGCAAGATACAATTTCTTGAGCTTGACCATTTGTATTCTCACAACTGTAAGTTAGTTTTGACATTGGGGTTTATCTGCAGAGTCATTGATTGAACTAAGACTTGAACACATCTGAAGATGTTCAGATTGAACACATCTGGAGATCTAGCTTTATATGATATAGATAGGAAATTTTTGCATCTTTCCAGATTTAGAGAACTATATATATATATATATATATATATAGTATATATGTGTGTGTGTGTATCTTTGCTTCTTCGTTAGAATTTTTGTGCTTTGCTAAATTTCCCTCATTCTAGTTAGTGTCTGTTACTGTTATGAGTTGAAATGTGTCCCCTCCCCCCTAACAAGATATGTTGAAGTCCTATCTTCCAGTCCTCAGAATGTGTCCTTACTTAGAAATAAGGTTGTTATGGATTGTAATTAGTTAAGAAGAAGTTGTCCTGAAGTGGGGCAAACCCCTAATCCAATATGATATAATAAGACAGACATGTAGAGACAGAGGCACAGGGAAGTCACATGACGACGAAGGCAGAGACTGGAGCTATACAGCTGCGAGCCCGGGAATGCCAGTGATTGCTAGCAACCATGAAGCGAGGAAGAGGCTAGGGAGGAGTCCTCCACAAGTTTCAGAGGGAGGCCGACCCTGCTAACACCTTGATTTTGGGCTTCTCAGGGTCCATAACTGTGAGAGAATAAATTTCTTTTAAGTCACCTGGACTCCTGTTCCAACAGCAGTCCAAATCCAATATTTGTAATCAATGCATTTTCCAGCATTGGTTATAAATAGTCCTTGACTTATTGTTTTACAAGAACTATTCCACAAGTTTTCTCATTCTTTTTGTTCTAACCTGTTCAAAGCTTCTCTTTCCTTTCAGCCTGTGTCATATTATTTCGTTTCCCCTTACAGCTATATATTACCCAGTTTAAATTCTTCTAGACACTGAAAAGCCATAATGGGTCAAATGATAATTGATCTAATGAGAGGCCTATTCGGATCTCTTTAGAAAGACATTTATGGCTGGAAACTCTTAGGATTTCTAGTTTATTGTTTCTAATTTGTGACTTGAGAACCACTACTATGTGTCATTGAGTTCTTAAAAAAAAAATTATTTGGTTGTGTGGCATCTTAATTGTAGTTTGTGGGACCTAGTTCCCTGAGCAGGGATCAAACTTGCATTGGGAACACAGAGTCTTAAGCACTGGAACACCAGGGAAGTCCCTGCATCATTGAGTTCTGATGTGGTCCTGATGTGCTGACAACAATGATGTAACTTAGGGTGGGTTAACCTCTCTAGGCAAGTGCCTTCTCCTTGACCACAGTGATGAATTTTGGACAGGATCTGACCAAATTGGTTTACTCACAGCAAAGCTCAAGACTTTTGTTCCATGTTCAAGGGAAGAAAATGAAGCCTAGATAAGAGTAACCGTCTTGGATCAGGAACAAGACAGAGGGTGAGGCAGATATCATGCAAGATGGAGCCTAGAGATGGAGTGACAACCCGCTCCTTTATGACATGCCTGGGTTACTGCATCAACTCTTGTTGGAATCCAAAACGTTCTGAATTTTTCCATTACTTTGAGGGAATTTATTCCTATATTGTTAAAGATCATTTGAGTTGGGAATTTATTTTCTGACAAGTAAAATAAATCCTAATTGATGTAATATATAAAAAAATCTGTATTTCTCAGCTGCTCAGTTAATTGAATGAGGAAGTTGTTGCTCCCTTGAACTAGGACTCCCAAATATACATTTAAATGCTTATAATAAATTTTTCCCAGTGTGAAATATCTATGCATGAAACTTAGTCAAGTTTTTACTAGAAACAAGTAACACTTGAAGAAAAAATAAGATTCCAGATAAAACTTTCATTTCTATTAGGAAAGAGAGCTCAGATAAGAGATCTGGCAATTAGTTTTTTAGTGTTTAACATCCAAACCCACAACTATTGACTATCTTGACTTCTGTGGAAATGCACACATTTCCAACATTTCACTGTTAAGTTATAGGGAAGAGCTGGTGCAAAATTAACCGAGAGGCAACCATTTGTGGTTCCTACAGTTACAAAGGGCATAAAACACATCGGTTTTATGAGAGTTACCGGATTCCTAGTGAGGAGAGCTGGGGGACTCAGTTAAGCAGGCAGGTTAAAGGAATGTGTAACTAAGGCTTTCTGAATTAAGTCTTTGAGAGTCCCAAAATTGTGGTTCTAATTCCTAGTCAGGAAAAGAATTCCCTCCCACTTCTTCTCCAGTACAGAAATAAAGCGAGCCTTGGGATTGATAAAATTAATATGCTGTTGGCCTTACTTCTTAGACTTCAGAGTTCTGTGGCACTGGGGAGGCACCAAAGATGCTGATTGGCCCCCAAACCCCATAGGCTATGACCCTAATGATGACAGGCGTGTCCTACGGCAGAGGCGAGGTCTTCCTTCACACACGGCCCAGTTATTTTACTAATGTCATATGGATACCTTGCTTACGTGTGTGCATGCTAAGTTGCTTGAGCTGTGTCCGACTCTTTGCGATTCTATGGACTGTAAGCCTCCAGGCTCCTCTGTCCATGGGATTCTCCAGGCAAGAGTACTGGAGTGGGTTACCAATCCACAGGGTTTTCCTAACCTAGGAGTCAAAACTGTGTCTCATGTCTCCTGCATTGGCAGGTGAGTTCTTTACCACTAGTGCCACTTGGGAAGCCCATGTGTACCTTAGGTAGCCAGTGTGATAGGAAAACACTTACACCCCAAAGATTCCTTCAGAAACATTTCCCTGGCTCCAAGTGACTTCATTTTTTTTTTTTTTTAGTGACTTCATTATACTATTCTGTTTCACTGTTTCTTTCTCATCCCTTACCAGTTATTTAAATAAGACTAAGACCAAATCATAGGTTTCGGCTCCAGTTTGCTCCAAACTCCTCTTTTGTCTTTTCTTCTTCCCACAAAGCAAGTGTTTCCTAACGCTACTAGTGTATTTTGCATCATATCTGCCCAGGCAATAATGACTCAGAAGCACAGCTCAGTGACTAAAGCATAGCACTCCTATGATAAATGTTATCTTCCCAGGAGGGGCTAGTGGTAAAGAACCCACCTGCCCATGCAGAAGACACTTGGTAGGCTTTCTGGGCTGAGCAGATGTTACCTCACACAAAACAATTCTACTGTGGTTTTATCCACTAGGATTTGTTTTCATTCTTATGCTAGTTTAATTTTTCGTTCAGACAAAGAAATTGATTTTCCATGCAAATTTCCTGACTATTTCTCCTTCCTTCCATTTTTCAATGTCCATAATTTAGTCACATTATTTTCATTTGCCTCAGCTAGTTTTGATTGATATGTTTATTGTAAGTTAAAAAATAACTGACCTTTACTCCCCGATCTTTACAATAAAACTCCACTTCTAGTATTCGTTTACAAAAATGTGTCTGTTGTTATAGTTTTCAGGTGATTTCTTTCCACTTTTATTGTTAAAGTAGGGGAAATTTATTGAAATTCTCAAAATTATCTGGCAATTCAGTCAGATGCTGCAGCTTATCTGAATGTATTTGGAAATTGTCTGGACTGGGCATCATTAGCTTCTATCTTCTCATCTGCTATAATTGCTGATTGATGATGAAGGCGCTAATTATAGATATGTGATGGTCCAGCCGGGCTATACGATGCCTAAGGCTGAGTGAGCGGTTCTTTTGCAGACACTCATTCTTCAGTCTGCAAATGATAAAATAGGATCTTTAGGGAATCTTAGCTTATTATTATCCTACCCTTTAAAATACCATCCCCTTGTGAATTTTCATACACATACACCAGGTGCCAAAATAATTGGTTCATTTACTTCACAATTCAACCAACCAATCACGAAATGCCAAACATCAACAATAAAGGTAGAATTTTTAGGTAGACTTAATTTAGTTAAGGTTTGGCTTCAATAACAAGGATATACATAATTAATAAAAGTTGACTAAATTTTATAGAAATCGACTTTAGAAATGAGACATTTTGAACCATATCTTATATAAATGGAACAGAGAATGGTGATTTAACACTAGGCTTTGGGTAGGAAAAATGATTATTAGTATAAAGAATTTGGGGAATAACTAAAACAATTTTCCTTGTGTTAGTACAAACATTAAAGTTAGGACAACCATCCAGGTAAAACTGAATTATAATAATAGACTATTTTCATGCGCAGTTTGGCAGAACTCACCAGAATCATTGGAAAAAGGTTATCTAAAAACACGTGCTGGCAGATGGTTTCCTAAATGATAATTTTTCTCAAAATAAAACTAATACTGCTGTATTTGGAAAAACATGGGAAACTTAATGGGTGTGAAATGTCTTATTGTGATCAGTGAAAACACAGGAGACATTCACTTAAGTAGTCCATTTCAGTTACTCATTAACCACTGAAATTTTAGCTAATACTGAGGAGGAAAATAAATAATGTTTTAATAGGAATAATTCATTTAACATATAATAAATAAACAGATTATGAGCTTGTTTCAGGGAAACCATGTACCATGTTTATAATTTGAGTCAAGCCCTAACACGAAAGCTCATTTATCAAGTGTCAGAAACCCTTAATAATTGCCACAATAAGTCATAATTTACTGTTCTGTCTACCTTGTGTGAAACTCTGAAATAGAGACTGTAGTAATACAAGGAACAGTAAGCCGTTATCCCTTCCATGTTTTGGTCAAGTTGTAGAAATAGGCTTTCACACATGATAAGGTAATGAAACAAATCTAAGCAGCACATGCTTCGTAGTGAATAAATAAATGGTGACAAGTGTCATCAAAATGTCAAGGTTGGGGATGTTATTTTTCAGCTTAGCTGGTCTGAGAAAACTTCTAAGAGATTGATTGGCTTTGGACTGTGTTAAAAATGGTAGGTAGAATAGGTACTGTCTTGAAAAGGAAAGGAAAAGAAAAGATGAACTTAAGGCAGGCAATACAGGTGTGAGATGAATAAAAATGAAGATTAAAAAATTTCAAGGTGTATTTTGGTAACCAGCTTGGCTTCCTGCCAGTTTTCTATCCAAGCATGAAGAAATGAGGTCAAGAATGCAGATGGAGATCAGATTCTGGGGGATTTAATTGTAGATACAGGAGCTATTGAGTAGGATAGCATTCATCCCCAAAACTGTCACCAAAGACACTTTCTCACTCCCATCCTTTGTCTTTCTGTCACTTTATACCCTGAGGTCTTTGACTCTATATTATACTATATATCAAGACTATATATATATATAGTCTTTTATATATATATATATATATATATATACACACACACACTATATATCATATATATACTATATACATATACATATATATACTATATACATATATATACTATATACATATATATACTATATATCAAGACTATAGTCTTGTCCTGTCTGTGCAGTGCTTCATGTTTCATGGTTCTTGTTCCATGGCTATATATGCTTTGAAATTAGCAGTCAGATTTCAGTTTGCTGCACATTTTTTTTTCCTGAGCAAATCCAAAAGACCAGGTAAATTTTTATTAAGAAGAATTTTCAGGAAACAGAACCTAGACTTAAATGTCAAAGGTATTACTGAAGAAGCAATGACAGGAGATTTCACTGTATCTCCTCTTGTGCCCCAAACTATCTGTTCTTAATTTGAATTTCATGCATTTTTTTCCTTTCAAGATGACATCAGCTTATTAACAATTAACTTAGCTCTGATTCACTTCCAGTATCTACCATGAAGTCATTTATTTATTTGTGCAAATTTATACCCTTATGCTGGAGGAGGAAATGGCAACCCACTCCAGTATTCTTGCCTGGAGAATCCCATGGACAGAGGAGCTTGGTGGGCTGCTGTCCATAGGGTTGTGCAGAGTCGGAGACGACTGAAGTGACTTAGCAGCAGCAGCAGCATACCCTTATGCTATGTTGAGAACCATACCATGGAACCCAAAGAACAAGATAAAAACAGACTCCAATACAGATCTTGCTTTGAGAAATTGACTATGCAAATGGACTATGCAAGTGGCCAGATTATATATAAAAATAGGATTGTGACCTGCTGCCTACCCAGGAAACCAACCCCCTTATCTACAATAAACAACCCAGAAAGCTAACTTGCTGTAAGTCAGACTTGCAGTTAAGCCCAATTGCTATCTCTCGTAACAATCCAAGAACCTAAACAATAACTTCTATAGAAATTGGTGCGGCCAGTACTTGATTAACAGCCAACAGCTTCTCTAACTGTTGTCCCTGCTTCAAACTTAGAATCACTTAAAGGGAGAGCACTCCCTTGACAGAGTCTTAGTAGTACCTCAGAGAGGGAGGGGCAATGTTGGGATATTACTGAAATTTTAGAAGACTGGTTTATGGTAGAACTTTCATGTCAGGGGGCTTGATTAGGATTGGGAAAAGATCATGACAGAAAGGTTAGGATAACCAGGCATAGCAATGAGAATTGAGAAACAAGGAGTCTAGGTGTAAACCATCATTTGATGCTTTCTCTGAGAGAGTTATTTGGTCTTTCAGAAAGTTCTTGGAATAAAGAACTGTTATCTTCCAGGCAAGAGTTTCCTGGAATAGTTATGTTGATGAAAAGATTGGAATAGTGAAATCTGCCTAATGTAATAAGCTGTGTAGATGGTTTTGATTCTCATGTCAGTAATTTCCTGAACAACACTGAGTGGAAGAATACTACTCAATATTCCCCAGAAACCTGCCCAAATTTAGCTAGAAATCTTTGCTGATGAGAGTTGGTACCCAGGCAGTCTGACAGCCGCATCTATGCTTTTAACCATTACTTACTGCTGCATCCAAACCCTACTCCTGCAAGTTTAGGACAAATGATAAAGCTAAATCTTGCCAGGTCACTTGTCTTTGTTCTGATTACCTGTTATGTAGAGCCCAGCTCCAAACCTGAATTGTGACCCATGATCGGGAGCTCTAACAACATCCTTTGCCTTGTCTAGGAGGTCTTTAAGGAGGCCAGCAATGGCATCTGGACCATTGGACCTTAGGACTTAATATTGAGTTCCATGTATCCAGGGGTCAAATGTTATTAACTTAGACTCTGTACCAGGCAGAGTGGATGAGAGATGATGGTGGCCCCGAGGCTGCAGAGACCCTCATATTTGGAAGGAGCAGAAAAATCAGAAGCAGGCACTTCTGCATGCAGGTGACGTTTGAGAACAGGCTTAACAAAAAGTCAGTGAGGAGTTCTAAGCACTGGTGGTGAGGAATCTTATTGATATTTGAATCAATTAACAACCCAGGGAAGGAGCAGCATTTACTCCGTGCACCAGTTGGACTCAATTTTGTTTGCTCTTGAGCCCAGTGGCAGAAAAATATCCAAGCAGGTGGCTGAATCTTTTATTGAGACAGTAGCTGGAATTTATTATCTTATTGAGAATGGGGCAAAAGCCTTCCTGTGTTATTCATAGACTACTTTTTTATGATCCAAAGGAGCAGTCACTTAATGGTTAGAGTGAAGGCAAATTAATAATAATAGATCAGACTCTCATCCCATGCAGTCAAATAGATGTTCTTCTCTATTGAGTTATGTGGCTTAAGAATCTCACCTAATCACAGTAATAAATAATGGGGTAATTTCCTTGCCAACTGCTAAGTTTCCTTACTTCTCACCAGGGTTTTATATCATTGTATTTCTACCTTTCAGAGACAATGACATTCTCAGAGCTACTTTAAAAGTTTGCACCTTTTGCTTTTTATTGCTACAGTTTTTATGGGTTGTCTCAGAGCCTGGGGTTGAATTTTTAGGTTTCTGAGGGAGAGAAATGTGATCAAAACAGTACTGTAAATGGAACTTGATGTGGCTATTAGGGAAGGTTGTGTATTTCTCTCCCAAAGATCTGGGGGCTTTAGGATTTGGGAAACTTTGAATACAAGTCTTCATAAAGGTGATTTATATGATGTTTGGGGAAGAATGTATATTTTGCCAGTAATGATTACTATGCTAGCAATTTTGATTTGTCTTTGGCGATATGGACTCACTGACTAATGAAGTTTAGTAAACTTACCTGGTATTCTAGTTCTAAATCCAAGGGTATGTAGTAAGTTGATATGTGAGAGATAATATATGTATATACATATATATATATATACACATATATATGCATATAGTATGTAATATAAATTAATATAATATTTAAATTATTTACTTGTATATTTTAAAATTTTGGAGATAACTCAGAAGATGAGAAGCACAATAGAGTCTATATGGGACTTATAAATATCCTTAGAATGGTTTTACCATCACCCGAGTGTTCTAGATGCAAATGTACCCTAATCCCCACCTTCTTGGGTATAGGTATTTGCTTTATAGTTCTATTTTAACACATCACTTTTTGCATACTACTTTGCACTTTGCATACTACTTTGTACTTTGATTGGTCGTGTCCCTATTTGTTTTCTTTGCTAGACTGCCCCTCTGTCCTGTTTTCTACCTCTTGAAGTAAATGATTTCTCTGGTTGACTCCCATCTAAAGTGACACATAGGGAACTCTATGTGCCTCAAATTGCAGAGCCAGTGAACACAGACCCAAGATTGGAATCCAGGCAGTCTAGCTCCAGAGTCCAGGATCTCAACACTCTGCTGCCTCTCTTGTGAAAAGCTAGCACAAGGCCTTAGAGACATGGTTTGTTGAATGAATCACCATGCTCACAAAGATGATGTACAAGCATAAGATAGCATTACTATGAACACGAAAAATTTCTTGGGAAATGGAGCAGATGTGGTTCAGGATACTTTCCAGTTCTTACCTCTCTGAAGGAGTGTCACCTCTTTTTGGTCCTTGCATCCCCAGTAGCGCTGCCCTGGGTCTCTGGATTTCTCTAAGGGAAAGAGGGTAGGACAAGTACTGAAACTGCTTCTATGGGCTTGGAAAATTCCTCTTGGGTTTAGAGCCTGGAATGCTCTAAACCCAAACTGCATCCCTTGTAGATAGCTTGTGTGGGTATCCTTTGGTGATGGGAACTGCTCTTATTCATCACATGGAGTAAGTGAAGTAGAGTAACTCAGTTGTGTCTGACTTTTTGAGACCCCATGGACTGTAATCTATCAGGCTCCTCTGTCCGTGGGATTTCCCAGGCAAGAGTACTGGAGTGGGTTGCCATTTCCTTCTCCAGGGGATCTTCCCGACCCAGAGATCGAACCTGGGTCTCCTGCAATGCAGGCAGATGCTTCACCATCTGAGCCACCCTACCATACACAGAGTAAGAATACCTAACATGTCATTCATATTCTCGAGAGTGGGGAAATAACATGAAATAGACTTTCTTTTATGGTAAATAATTCATTTTGTCAAAAGAATATTTACTTTCATACTTCATTTACATATCCTCAAAATCTCGTTTTAAGACTTAACAGTTACTAAATTACAAAAGAACATTTTGAAAAACACTCTGCTACATTCCTCCAGACAATTCCTAGTGACAATACATATGGAGAGTAAGATACTAATTTTGGATCCAGACAGACGCTGTTTCGGTTCTCTGAGTGGCATTTTCCCAAACAAACTACTGAACGTTTCAGAAATGAAACCTGTGATGTCTAGCACAGGTTGTATAGAATACATATCAAAGAGTTCCAGTACTCATTGTCAGATGGGTTCTGATATGTCTGGCTGATGGAAATTCGTGTATTTGTGAATTCAACTAAAACAAGTGTTGGGAAATATTTAAGCTCTTTTATTTTTATCCCTACTCATGGTAAATAAATAAGCCTTTGTAAACAAGCAAATGTCATACATCTGAGAAGGATTTTGATGAAAACTGCTAAAATCAGATTTTTTAAATTAGAAAACAATATATGTACTCTAAATAATTTCTATAAATGTTCTCATAATCACTTCTTGGGAATAATTTTTTTTGTTAGGATAGGAAAGTCCTATGGCTGAGGGACTTTTTTAAAAGAAGCTTAACATTCAAGTGTAAGTTGTCTTGTGTTTAGCTCTGTGATTTACCCCATCTCACTGATACTCCTAAATCCTCCTGTGAATCATGAAAACAGTATCTGGTTATCTGTGTTGTGGATTGTGTGTATGTATGTACACACAATTGATTGTACGTATGTATGGTGGAGCTAATCAAAGGATGGTAACTATGGTAATCAAGAAATAGAAAAAAGCCTTATAATGGAGAACAAAACGAACCATAACAGAAGATGGAAAGCTGAACCACACATGACAGAGAGAATAGTATGACCACACATTTGTAAAATTTGTGAGTAAGACATTGACAGAGATTGGATTTTGAGTTAATCTTACTTATTTTTAAAGAGTGACCCCATATGGTATTTTAGTTAAAATGAATTCAGCAGTGTTTATTTATTTTAAAACTTTTCATTTTGTATTGGGGTATACCTTTACCAAAGTTGTGATAGTTTCAGATGAACAGCTGAGGGATTCAGCTGCACTTATATACATGTGTCCACTCTCCTCCAAACTCCCCTCCCATCCGAGCTGCCACATAACACTGCGCAGAGTTCCGTGTGCTGTACAGTATGTCATTGTTGGTTATACATTTTAAATATAGCCATGTGTACATGTCCACCCCAAACTCCCTAACTATCGCTTCCTCTTTCTCTAAATCTGTGAGTCTCTCTGTTGTGTAAGTTCATTTGTTTCATTTCTTTTTAGATTTCACATATAAAGGATGTCATATGATATTTTTCCTTCTCTGACTGACTTCACTCAGCATGGCGCTCTCTCTAGGTTCATCCATGTTGCTACAAATGGTGTTATTTCCTTTTTTTAAGGGCTGAGTAACATTTCATTGTATATATGTAGCACATCTTCTAGATCCATTTCTTTGTCGATGGACATTCAGGTTGCTTCCATGTCTTGGCTATTGTAAACAGTACTGCAATGAACATGGGAGTGCGTGTATCCCTTTGGATCATTTTTTCCCTCTGGATATATGCCCAGGAGTGGGATTGCAGGGTCATATGGCAGCTCTATTTTTAGTTTTTTAAGGAACTTCCATACTGTTCTCCATAATGGCTGTACCAGTTTACATTCTCACCAACAGTGTATGAGGGTTCCCTTCTCTCCCCACCCTCTTCAGCATATATTGTTTGTGGAGTTTTTTAATGATAGCCATTCTGACCTGTGTGAAGTGATATCTCATTGTAGTTTTGATTTGTATTTCTCTAATAATTAGAGATGTTGAACATCTTTTCATGTGCCTCTTGGCCATCTGTATGTCTTCTTTGGAGAAATGTCTATTTAAGTCTTCTGCCCATTATTTGATTGGGTTGTTTGTTTTGACACTGTTAAGCATTATGAGCTGTTTGTAAATTTTGGAGACTAATCCCTTGTCAGTCACATCATTTGCAAATATTTTTTCCCAATCTGTGGGTTATCTTTTGGTTTTGTTTATTGTTTCCTTTGCTGCGCAAAAACTTTTGAGTTTAAGTAGGTCTCATTTGTTTATTTTTATTTCTATTATTCTGGGAGATGGATCAAAAGAGATAGTGCTGTGATTTATGTCAGAGAGTGTTCTGCCTATGTTTTCCTCTAGGGGTGTTATAGTGTCTGGTCACATTTAGGTCTTTAATCCATTTTGAGCTTATTTTTGTGTATGGTGCTAAAGAATGATGTAATTTCACTGTTTAACATGTAACTGGCCAGTTTTCCCAGCACCATTTAGAATTCAACAATATTTATTAAGTGCCCATGTGTCAGATAGGGTGTATCAATGAGCAAAAACCACGGTACCTGACTTGTACCATACCCCTATCATGGTGTGATCAGGGACATTGTCAAGGGCTTATGGGCATCATTGTATTTATATAACATTCACCTCTCAATGAAGATAGGAGATCCAGAGATTGACTTGCCCAAGGATACACAGCTAATAATTAGCACTACAAAGATCATACCCTAAGCTCTTCTTTTTATTTTTTTACTGTGCCGTGTGGGATCTTAATTCCCTGACCAGGTATTGAACTTGTGTCCCCTGCAGTGGAAACGTGGAGTCTTAATCACTGGACCACCAGGGAAGTCCCAAGTTGGATAAACTGTTAACCCCAATTTATACGTGAACTGACTGGGGCTCAGAGACACAGTTGACTAATCTAAATTATGTTTACAGTATATGGTAGAAGGAACTGTATCTCACATGTCTAGTTTCTTTGATGGTGCTTGTTCACTGCTCCATATTGCCTTTGAAAGTGAAATTCACTCAGTCATGTCTGACTGTTTGTGACCTCATGGTCTATACAGTCTGTGGAATTCTCCAGGCCAGAATACTGAAGTGGGTAGCCTTTTCCTTCTCCAGGGAATCTTCCCAACCCAGGGATTGAAACCAGACCTCCCACATTGCAGGTGGATTCTTTGTCAGCTGAGCCACCGGAGAAGGCCCATTGCCTTTACACCTACAAAACCAGATCTGTAACATCTACAAAACTAGATCTGTAAAGCAATTTGTGTACATTTCTAGTTGTGTACATTTAATAGTTGAAATTGTGGAAATGGAATATAAGACTGTCTTCATTTGGTAGAATTAATGTATCATAAGTGCAGAATAGCCATGATTTTAAAAAAATGAGTATTGAATAGTTATACTTGAACCTTTATACTTCAACCTTTACTTGAAGCCTTAAGATAGGCTTAAGAATTTTCAAAATATACTGCTCACATTTGAATCAGGAATTATGCTATTATTGTTAACATTTCTAAAACAGTTTTTGCTTTTCAAATTTGAAATACTATTCTAATTGTTCACACTAGTTAGCTCATAAGGAAAAAAACCAGAGAAATCAAATGAATAAGTTATTTAGGTGTCAGTAACATACTAAATTATTAGGATGGTTTAGAGCATTTAAGAATAATTGCAATATGAAGATTTCAGGTAATTCTCTTTAAGTGATTCATAATTTCCTTCTTCTTATTACTTCTGTTCCTTATACCCACAAGCTGAAAGTTAATAGAAAACAGGAACATGGTGTGTGTGTGTGTGTGTGTGTGTGTGTGTGTGTGTGTGTAGGCTCAGGATATTACATTTGTGTATCCAAGGACTGGTTATTTTATTCAGTTTATTTGGAATTCAAGAAAGCAGGAAACACATTTAACTCTTAAGTGTCATGGGAATAGGTCACATAACACAGTCAGAAACCTCTCATAACAAATTAAATATAGCCAGGTGTGAGGGAAAATAAATTCCATATGTTTAAAAATTATTGGAGCAGATAGAATTTCACTGGAAAATATAAGTGAAATTTGAAGGTCCTTTCATTAAAGTTTATTAAACTGTAATATGTCTGATGGCCATTGGTTGTCTGAAAACAGGGTGAAGTTACTATTATGGGTATTTGTTCAATTTACCTTGTACAAACTAGACCTGTGACTTGACTTGCTCAAAATAAGCTTCCTTTATTTTATGAGTTAGAATATTTGCTGAGTCCTTATAAAATGTCTGGAGCCATACTGAATCTTTGGAAACTTCTTTATTCCTGAGAGATGGCAACGTGTCCAATCTAAGATGGCAAATGAACTCTTACTCCAGCTGAGGAAGAGCTTTTACAGTAAGCCTGCCCTGTGTTAACTTGTAGTTAAGCATGTTCCATGCTAACCGCAAGCCTATGTATGAGGTTCTGCTATTGTCCTCTTTGGTCAGATGGAGAGATGGAGAGGTTGAACAATCCACCCAACTTTCCCCATCCTGTAAAGATTAGTATTTGAATTGAGATGTGCCTGGTTGCAAAGCATTTCTACTGAATCATGGTACCCTTCAATGGGGAGAATTACAAGGTAATGAAAAAAAAAAAGACAGAAAACAGTGAGAAGAATGCCTGTATAGAGAGTCGAGCAAGGCTGTGAAGAGGTGGTAGAAGTGGAGATGTAGGAATAAAATTACTCAGCTCCTCCTGGGGAGGTTCTCCTTGTTCTTGGACCTCAGCCATCCTTCATCCACTGACATGCCTGACCTCTAGTCCTGAAGCTGTGTTGCCAGATGGCGCCCTCTGTCATTTCTCCATCATCAGGGTCCTGATCATTCATTTCATTCCTTCTGTTATGGTGCTGTTTCTAACAGCCTCATGCTCAGTCCTGGTGGACCTTGATCTCCCATTATTAGGGCAGCTGCCTTCTTATAGGTTACAGTCACTTGATTTTAAGACATTGATAGATTTATAGTGACTCTCTAAGTCACTATGTTGAAAATAATTTTTTTCTCATTGGGAGGATTGATTGTTTGGTTGGTTGATTATGTCTATGATTAGAGATAAAGGGAGAATGTAGGCAGACATGTTATATATTTGCTATTCTTGTACAGGATAGACAGAACTTGGCTATGCTTTGTGACCTATCCTCTGTGATTTAGTCACTAAGCCATGTCCGACTCTTGAGATCCCATGGACTATAGCCCACCAGGCTCCTCTGTCCATGGGATTTCCCAGGCAAGAATATTGGAGTTGGTTGCCATTTCCTTCTCCAGGGGATCTTCCCAACCCAGGGATCAAATCCAGGTCTCCTGCATTGTAGGCAGACTCTTTACCCCTGAGCCACCAGGGAAGCCTGAATATTAGCTGATTAGGTGACTATCCTCTATCTAAACTGACAAATAAAATTCCTGTATCTTAAATGCATAATGAGCAACCATGCACAAGCATTGTGTCTGCTCTTGGAGTTAGAGAAATGAATATACCATCCTCCTTGTTATACTAATTATCATTTTTAGACAGTTTTTGAAACATACTCAGAGACTGTCTTTTGGTCATCTCAACAGGTGTGGCAGTCAGAATATGGTAAATATCATGCATGTGTACTCCAAATAAACTAATCTAACAGAAATTTCTGGCCAAGTGAGAGGAATACTGTGTCAGTTTGGGAGTGCTTTCAGAGCAGAACCCAAATCACAACGACTTAAATGAATTAGGGAAGTCCTCAAGAATGCAGTGAATATTGAGGCTGTAGTTTCTGCCATTCTCCTGGCCTTTCCCTCATGGTGGCGAGATGGCTGCCATGGCTTCAACCATCTAGTCAGGTGAAGGTAAGAGTAACAAGGGAAATGTGAAGGCACTTCTACCAGGAAAACAAACCCTTCTCGATAATCCCAGAAATTTTCTGTTCATGAAGGAGGAAACAGACAGAACAGGCTCCATCTTGAAAGCAGGACTCCATCTTAGGCCAGACTGTGGACTTTGAGCTATATGCCCAGTATCTGTGGAAATGACATACCAACTGGAAAACCAGGCCCGCTGGATGGAAGAGCCCCAGGGCTTGTACCTAGACTCTCTGGTGCCTAAAAGAATACCCTAATTATCTGTGTAACCAAGTAGAATCATAAATTCTATTATGCTTATTGGGGTATGACCACAGGTCTATTGATAATTGTCCACTGTTAACTACCTAGGCCTAAGACATATGAATCATGGGTTAACTTTGATTGTATCTTTCTTTTCCTTTGTTCAGACTAGTTTCAGGGAATTTGGGGAGGTGGGTTTGAGCACATACACTTAGGGTATATAAGGTTTTCAGAAAAACTGGTCAGGGTCCTTGGCTAAAAGGAGACTCTGCCTTGGGCCCGCCAGTGTAATAAACTGCACTCCACTATCTGCATTGTCCTTCTGAGTGAGTCTGTTTCCCAGAACGCGTGGCTACAACATTCACTCTGGCTGAAACTGTCACATGGTCACCTCTAGCTGCAAAGGAGGTTAGATAATATTTATTTGGCTATTCCCAATAAAATTGAGGTTATATTTGCCATAGAAAAAGAAGAAAATATATTACATAGCCATCTAGTAGCATCTGCCACAGATACATCTCCAAGGAAATAGATTGGTCATTTAGGGACTTGAGGTAGAAGTGGGAATGTATTACCATATAAAGAAACACACTTAAAACCTAGCTTTATAGTTGGCTATATCTGTGTAGGGTGATTAGTCCCATTTGGTTTCTAGTTTCCAAAAGTACCAGGGTCCATGGCAGCTCTTTCCAACAGTTGTCTGTGGTTGCACATGTGTTTGAATATAGAAGTGTATTTCCATGCATTTTCTAAAATGCAATTTAACAGCCCAAAGATAATGAGAACCTTACATTGCAAATCATTTCTTTTCTACAGTATGTCTTTGGCACTAGCTGTAAAGTTAATGAATACTGTTGTTAGAACCATGCTCCAATATGGAATATTTCCATGTCACTGAAGTGCAAGAATGCCTTAAAACATAGCCCCTCAGGATATCAAGAAGTTTCCTGTTGATTTCCTTCCTGCTAAAGAAGGTATGTGATTCGGCAAGGTAAGAAATGAAAATCATTGGCTATAAACTTTTGGTACCAGGAACACATGTTGAAAACTGTCAGAGCTTAAATTCAGGAATTTAGGGTTTAGAAGACAATATACTTCTTATACTTGTTTCATTCTGAAAAAGACTATAATAACTTTCTGGGGAGATAAAATTACATCTTTTTTGGTAATCCCGGGGAGAATGGAGGGTGAAGACCAAAGGAAAGAGAATAGAAAAGACAATGACATTTATTCATTTTCTGTGTGCCAGGAACTGTGCTTGGGGTCTTGAATATTAAGAACAAGCCTACAAGCAAGTATTTATATTCCAATTCTAGAAATAGGTAACCTGAACTGTAGAGAGGTTGGATGAATTTCCCAGGATTGCATAGATAGTGAGTTGAAAGAGCAGATCTTGCTTTTCCCCCACACTACCCTGTAGAACTGGTAAAATATCCTGAAAAATACTATATCTAACTCTTAGTTTAAAAAATGTACTGGACACACCCCGTACCAGTTCCCCAAATTTCTTTCCCAGCTCTGACCTGTTCCTACTTCATTTCATTTTCTTCTGCTTCAGTCTATATGCAGGTAATAAGAATGCCTCTAAATGCCATCTTTAGAGATGAAACTGACAGGAATGGGAAGAAGCCATAGCTAGAATCAAGTCTCTCCTGACCACCTCTCTTCTCTACCTTAATCCTGGTACAAGGGAACCAGTTCATAGACATATAACAATAGATTAGCTATTAGGGTCATAAGTGTTTGCAATGCAAACGTACAAAATACAATTTTATCAATAGAATAATATTAAGATGCCATTAAATATGAACAAGCCAGTTGCTTCTCTTTTAATGTGACATTCTGGGTTTATACTAATTTGTCCAGAGAAGGCAAAGACTCCTGAAAGCAGCCAAGCAGACTGCTCAGGAGCTGAAAGAATGACCC